GGAATAATGTAGATTTTATTAATAATATATTATCTTACTTTCCTGTTTTTATAGATAATCCTATTGAAGTTAATATTAGAAGATTTATTTTGAAAATATTAGCTACAGGTGAAGCTACTGAATGGTCATTATTAAAAAATAATCAGGAATTATGTTATGGGGATAATAATCAGATAGACTGGAAAGTTACTTGACTTATCTTCCATTATTGCAAGGGATTTCACTGTATTAGCATGCGACTTAACTATTTATGGACCTTTATAGCAAAATTATTTCACAAAATCCTTCCTTTAGGATCTATTTTAGCAATAAGAAAACCAAGACTCTACAAGAAAATGAAATGTATTATGAAATGTAATAAGAAGGAACATTTATTTGAATGTCAGGCATATGAGGTGGCTTAGGAAAAAATATTGGAGATTACAACAAAAGAATCTATAATTATATGTTTGAAACAAAAACAAATCAGAGGTCAAGGTGAAGATTTTATTAGAAAAGTAATACAAAACATACTAGGAGTTACAGCAAAATCAGAAAAATTTCAAAAGTTTCAACAGCTGGCATTGGAAGTGAAAGTTGAAACTTTTTTAACAGCAAAATTACAAAAAGACTTTAAGATATCTCTTACTGAGGCACAAATACTTATGGCTAATATTTTAATTAGATTTATTTTAGCATTTAAAAAATTAATATGGAAACCAAGATGTGAACAAGTTATTTTATGGGAAAAAAGAAGAGGCATTTCTAGAACAGATAAAATTACTTCAGAGTCCAAGGGAAAGGACAATTCAAATCAACCTTCAGAATACAAAGTAAAGGACAATACAAATAAACTTTTAAATAAAGTTAAAGATATACAAACAGGAAAAATAGATCGATTACAAAGGTCAGTTTCCTTAGTAAAGAAATCAATGGATACCTTTGTAAGGAAATACATATGTGAGGATTGGATTCCAATAAAAAAGAAAGTTGATAAGGTTACATTATACACTGTCTCTTATACACATCTAGATGTGTATAAGAGACAGAATTTGGGACAGTCCATATTTGGTGATTATAAAGATATAAAAAATTTCTTATATTAGTATATCATAATTCCAATATAATTTTGGCCAAAATTATACTCAAAACTTTATTGTATTGTAACTCCGTCAATATTAATCGTAGAGAGATGATCTTACCACTAGGGTTGCAGACATTTCTTAAGGTAACTACCTAATACGTCAATACGTCATGTCGTAAAGGGTGTACTACCTCTAGATATTTTTTGCCGTATATATGTATGGGGTAGTAAGGTAGTAGCCGTATTTGACGTATTATATGACATATGCCGTATCATGTGTCATATGCCATATTTTATACCGTATCATAAGATACTAAAATTATTTAGTTTAAATTTTTGCNTACTATAGCTGTTTCTCTTCTTTTTACGTCTAATAATATTGTTACTCTACTCTTTCTTTTTTTTACTTTTATGTATTCTGTATATATTAATAAATACTTGTAATTTTTTATGGTTTAATAAAATTATATCTAATAAAACATACATTATATAAACTTATAGTTAGGGTTGCAGACATTTCTTAAGGTAACTACCTAATACGTCAATACGTCATGTCGTAAAGGGTGTACTACCTCTAGATATTTTTTGCCGTATATATGTATGGGTTAGTAAGGTAGTAGCCGTATTTGACGTATTATATGACATATGCCGTATCATGTGTTATATGCCATATTTTATACCGTATCATAAGATACTAAAATTATTTAGTTTAAATTTTTGCCGATCTTTAAAAAAAAATTCAGAAAAAAAAAAATTCCGTTATGTATTTATTTAATAGCTATTTGTAAATTAAAATGTTATTATATTATAAAATACTAATACTATTAAAACCTACTACAAATTGTTATTATATTATCAAATTATTATAAATGTTTAAAAAAAAACAAAAGATTATTCATGATTCTCCGGAATCTCTGTAAAATTCCTTTCGGTATCTCTTTCACGTTCTAAAAATCCATTTAATACATCATTGGGATTGTAATTCAAGTCTTCTGAATCTAAAGGTCGTTCTTGTATTGGATTAATATCAGCACTAACTTCTCCATTATCATCAATAGCTGCCAAATCAACAATATTGCTAATAGCTAATTCAGTATTTGAAAAATTTTCTGATGGTAAAGTTGGATTTGAATTATTCCCATTGATATTAACTATATCATTATCATCCTCTAAGCTAATAATGCTATTAACTGAAGCAATATTAATACTTTCTCTTAACTCACTTTCAGTCAGATCCTTACTTATATAACTCAATTCTCTTTGAATATTATTCATATAATAAGACCGAATTCTGGCTATAGCTTCAAGATTCTTTAAAGACAAATTGGTTCGCCTTTCACCCAAAATCCAATTAAGGATCGAAAAATTCCTTTCACAATTTGCTTGAGTTGGATTAATAGAAAAAATTTGACATGCAAGTTCAGGCAAATGTCGTGGTTGTATTTTGATTAATTTCCACCATACCTTCGGAGATTCAAGTCCAGGAATATAAGGAAGATCAAAAGGAGCAAGTCTTAATTCAAACCTACGAAGTTGAGCGATTAATTCTTCACTTTCTTTGCGAGTATGACCAAGACTTTGCCATATTTCAATTGCAGCTAAAGCAGCTTTATGAAAAGCATCATCTTTTAGACCTTTACCTAGCAAACAAAAAAAACTTCATATTAATTATATTATATTGAGTCTTTCATAAATCATATTTTATAATAGTATATATTTAACCTCGATAATGTGGATGAAGATAGTAAGCCAAAATATAAAGATGATGTAAAAATTCTTCAAATCGTTGATTGAAAATATTAATAGCAAAGGGTTTGAAGATATTTGTATTTGGTAATTGGTATATTGCATAGGCCAATTTAATAAGATAGATGAATCAATCTGATAAAGTAGCTTCATTTGCCTCTAAAAGATTTATACATTCTTTTATTGGCTTCCATATAGAACGAACTGATCGACATGTAGAAAAAAAGGATTCATCTTCTATCAAAGCAGCAACTTCATTATTGGTAATAGAATTAGCATGCTCACTAAGGATCTAAAAATTTTAAATTTAGTGTTTATTTAATTTATTAATTATATCAAATTTTACTTACCCAATCAAATACAGGTCGAGCTCTTAATAAAGCATCTGTTGTCATGAATAATGATCCCCAACGTGTTTTTACCCAAGTTTGTAATCCACCTCCTTTAATTTTCATATTAGTAAAACCTTGCCTTAAAAGAGCATTACTAGCATGTGATTTACTAAAATACCGATTAATTTTACCACATTCATTAATAAATTTTTTAATAGGTTCAAGTTTAACTAAATCAGATGCGATCAAGTTGATTGCATGAGCTGCACAACGTATATTCCATATATGTGGATATGTTTGGTGAATATTTTGTCTTGCAACTCGGCAATTGGAAGCATTATCAGTAACTATCTCAGCGAACTTATCACTGCCAAGTTTTTCAATAATTTTCGATATTTCTTCTGTTAAAAATTCGCTTGTATGTAATTCTGATGAATAATTATATAAACCAATTAAGTATTCCATTCAAGTATCAGTTGTAACTATGTAATTATAAATTGATTCCATTTTGGGAGTGCTCCAACCGTCTAGTACTATTAGAAATAGAATTTTAAATAAAATGCAATCAGTATATTTTCAACAGGTGAATTTATTTAATTTTTTAAATTACCAAGACGTACATATAATATTAACTTATATTTACCCAATGTAAGATGCTCAGATTGTTCCAAATCACGATCAATAGCTAGACCCACTCGTATATGTTCTTCAGTAACAAGTCGGTCAGAAAGAGTAGTCCGTGATGGTGGAGAATAACCAGGATTCAGATCTTTAAATAGATCTATAACAAATGGATTTTCAATCACATTAAAGGGAATACCAGCCATAATCCAAGCTTTTAAAACCTTTTTATCAAGTCGGTCAACAACAGACTTGGGTAAAGATTGATCAGATTTATAATGATCAGTTATTTGCGATTTAGTTGAATTAGGTGGTCGTAAAGAAGGGAGTGATTTTTGGTTATTACGAGTATATTTTGTTTGCCGGCTAGCTATAATTTCACGCCAGTATCTTGATATCTCTTTAGGACATTGTATGCATTCGTTTGCCAGGTGCACTTCCATTTTTTGTGGCTTTCCTCTTGACCATTTTGACTTGCAATAAAAACAAATAGCCTCATAATGTCCATTATTCTTTTGCGCGCCTCTTTCATAATATTCCCAGATTTCCGAAAAGGGCTTTGTATTTTTTTGAACCTTTGGAAGTTTTATCTTTTTATTATTTGGAGTTATTTGTTCTTCGTCTGAAGAAGCTATAATTTCTGTATTTTCATCAGAAACTGGTCTTTTGCCCTTCTTTGAACTGCTTTCTCCACTATTCATGAGTAATGAGAATAAAAAAGTTGCGAAAATACACATTACATATTTACATTTCGCGTGTTTACGTTAATTTAAATTCTATGGTAAAGGGGGAAACATCATGTGATATGCCATACGTTAAGATGTACGACATGCGTCAAGACATATGTCATACGTCAAGATCTACATCATAAGTCAGTGGTTGTAGCAAACGGCACATGTGACGTATTGCCATGACGTATGCCGTAAGGTAGTTACCCTCAATAAAAGAAATGTCTGCAACCCTACTTATAGTACAGAAAATGAAGTATTATTTATTGAAATATTTTGAAATATTACGAAATATTAAGTTGTGTAAAATCACAGAATATTACGAATCATCAAATTATGGAACATTACGCATCATAGAATTTCGAAATATTTTAAAAAGTTGCGAAGTATTATGCAGTAAAATTACGGAATATTACGAATCGTAAAATTACGAAGCCTTGCATA